TCCGTTCCTCAATTACATAAGGTTCTATTGCAAGCCAACCAGAACACGAAAGAAATGAAAGGCTATAGAAAAGGAATGTCTTATTTTAAGCGACTCAGAACGCGAAAGAAAAAGCAATTACAGCTTTTAAGATGACTAAAACAAAGCAAGCTGCTGTGTTTGCGTTTTCATCCATAAAAGGTTGTTAATTAAACTGTACTTAAAATGTGCAGTAATCCTTTCTTCCGCTTTGTTATCAGTGATCGGGCAGATTGATCAGTCAATCCGCGATGTTCAAAAACACAGGCCCCAGGAGAGCGGGATCTCGTAGACGAACCCTATAGACCTTTTCTGCAAGCGCGCCGCCATCTTGAATTGACGTCACTTCCAGTATGGGCGAAATTTTGCCTTTGCCAAACCAATAGAAGGCATTTAGAATATAAGCGTAACCGTCACACTTTCTCGTTTTGCCAACCTTTTATTTTTTTTTTTTACTATTTGCAGGTTGGATTTGCACGTTGGATTATTTTTTCATCGCCCATACCGGATACGCCTATTAGGTTGCTGGGGACGAGGGTACACAGAAAAGGTCTATACGGCAGGCCGAGCAGGTGGCATACTTGTGTGTGTGCTGAACCAACGCTGAACACTGCATTGGTCTTGTAGATGCTTCTCAGAATTGACCGTGGGACACAGCCTCTTGAGTTTGTCCTGTGGGAAAGTGTATGTGGGCCAATTTGGCCGGTCTGTCAACATTAGACTACGTGAACACGCCCTTTCACTAAAATCATCTCCGGCAGGACACCTCGCCCTACATATTCGAGACTGCAAATGTACCCTTGGGTTTGCTATAACCAGAATCCCCAAGCAACAGCACAACCCGAGAGCCAGGGAGATCTATGAGGCTCAAATCATCGAAGCCAGAGGGGACGCTTGCAATATACGCACCGTCAATAGCCTTATCTGAAAAAGAACTTCAATACCTCAATTTGTTTTCTTAAACACTACAATTTTTCAATTTTTATTTCTCTTTTAGATTTATTTCTCTTTAAACTTCTTCTTTCTTTTTCTCTAATTTTTGTTCCTAATTGTTTTTTTCTTATTTTCTTTCTCTAGTCTCATTTTCCCAGTCCTGTTTTTTCTTTACCACTTTTCATAATATATATATATATATATATATATATATATTATTAAAAGTGGTAAAGAAAAAACTGTATATATACAGTTTTATATATATATATATATGTTTCTTTTTTTTTTATTCGTTCACATTTGTTTAAAAACAACCGTGAAAGCTACACTAATGCGGTTTGTGCAGGTGGGTTATATGGCTAGGCGGACATTATGTGGGTGGCTAATCTTTTCGATAAGTCGGCTAATTAATTAAAATTCGTTAATTAACTTTTTAATTACTGAAAATAGACATATAGTTTCAATTAGAAACTTGTAGAGCATCATCGAAAACCACTAAATCAACTATTTTTGGAAGGATATAGTGCCGAGGCAGCATTTTACAGCGTTCTGAAAAAGCGCTTCATTTGGACGCGTTTCTAGATTTCGGTTTCCTATCGGAGCGCATCACCGCGCTCGCGGTCCTGCTTTCCAGTGGCTGAGACGCGAAACACACGCGCGCCTTACTTCCCTCCATTCTACGTGGGAGGCGACGGGTGGCTTCGCGCCACGAACACCAGGGAGCAGGACCGCGGGTGCAAAGATGCGCTCCGATAAGAAACCGAAATCTAGAAACACGTCCAAATAATGCGTATTTACAGAACGCCGTAAAAGGCTGCCCCGGCGTTATATCCTTCTAAAAATAGTTGATTTAGGGGTTTTCGATGATGTCCTACAAGTTTCTAGTTGAAACCATATGCCTATTTTCAGTAATTAAAAAGTTAATTAACGAATTTTAAATAATTAGCCAACTTATCGCAAAGATTAGCCACCCACATAACCACATAATGTCCGCCAGGCCGTATTACCCATTTGCACAAACCGCATTAGTGTAGCTTTCACGGTTGTTTCTTTAAAAAAATGTGTAAAAATAAAAAAACACCATATATATATATATATATATATATATATATATATATATATATATCAAATCTCCAGGTTCGTTTTCCTCTTTCACATTAAAAACGCCAGTTGATAGTAGCGCTTTGTCCTGTCCTGTGCTGTTCTTCTACTTGTCCGCGTCTTTTAATGCTTTACCATGCTACCCAGCAGTTAATTTTGGTATGGGCTACCACGACTGGCCCACTTGACAGATGTCATCTGGGCAGAAGGGGCCACGTTGGAGGGCACCCAAGCTTTCAGCAGGGGAAAAGAATATTAGAAATGTGTAATTAGGTTTCCTTTGTAACAGATGCCAATATCAGAAAATAAAAAATTTGTGTCATTCTCACGCCTCTTGATTGGTTCTTCGGCGGATCATACTAGTGACGCAGTTTCGTTGGCTATGAGGTAATGATGATATGTTCGGGGATGAGCAAAATAAGTTCTCCAACTCCGGCGTCTGACGTGCAAGGGCGGTGGTGAGATCTGCAGCTCCGTGGGCTGCTCAGGCGACGCGGCTTTCTGTGCAACCAGGTTGGGGTGCACGCTGGGGGCCACGGCGGCGCCGTGTTTGGTGGAAGGACGCTGCTGGCGCATTCGCTTGAGGAGCCAGACGAGAAGTGCGGCCGCCGCGAGTACTGCGACCACGAAGACCACCACAGTCAGATCGTTCAAAGGATTGGTGGCCATGTGTCACCTCGTAAGCGGTCGGAAGCCCTATGGGGAGTCTTCTTCTTTCTTCGCACGTGGCCTCTGCCACGTCTCTGCTCGCGCGGTCAAGCGGGTGCCGATGCAAGCCCGCCAAAGTTACCTTCGCCAATACCACGTAGAAGGCAAGGCCCGTGCGTGACGTCATCACCAGTGGATCCCGGCCCGCCCCCAAGCGGCAAACACGCTCAAGCTCGGGACGAAGGTCGCCGCGTCGCAAAGCGACAACCGCGTGAGTCTTGGCGTCGTCGCGTGCGAGAGTCGCGCCCGTTCTGCAGACGTTGCAAGACACGCTGATGTAACGGTGGTGGCTAGAGAGCCTAGCTGAAGAGAGGGTCCATCTCAGAGCACGAGGAGCATTTGCCACCCTCGGTTAGTGTGATTCTGAACCAACAGATGGCGAAAAGATCATCTCCAGACAAGGTCCCTATAGACGATTGCAAGCTGGGCGACTGGCCGCCGCCATGTCTCTGCTCGAGCAGGCACGCCCGTGCGATTACGAGCTTGCCAAAGCTACGTTCACCCGCGCGTTGCACGCGCTTGCACGCATGGGGCACCACTTGTGGCGCCATGCTTGCAATGGACCTTTTTCCAGTAAGCGTCTGCGCACGCGCACACCCTTTCCACTTGACCTTGACCCCCCTTTCGCCATTTTTGGGGGGCACTGTTTTCTTGCGACACTAATCTGTTCCTATGGGAGAAGGCGAGTCCGGTTGCCCTCCATTTGTAGTAGGCGGCGAAACCGTCATGGGGCACTCCTTACTGGAAAAAGGTCCATTGTCTATAGACGCTTTCAGCGCGCGCCAAATTGAGCCGCCATAGCCGACCTTCTCTTGTCTTACCGCCATGCCGAGCCACTGAAGGGGGGTTGACGAGTCTGTACAAGGGCCTATGCTGGAGACAAGGACACGGTAGAATCTAAAATGGCAATGACCTGCCCTGCTGTGGTAATGATGAAGTAGAGCGAGCGGAATAAGAGGAAACAAAAACTGAAGGTCGGTTATGGCGGCGCCCATGCACAGCTGCCTGAAAGCGTCTATTGGCGACGAGCGCGACCGAAAGCGTCGCTGTGGTCGGCCTTCCACGATTGGCCCGAAAGCTGACTATGACGTCGGAAAGGGTATACCGTCGACGGAAATAAGAGGAGTGAAAGAACTTTAATTTTGACGGTGTTGGAAGTGTTCCTTTGAGAGCGCAATGATTTCAAGCTTCCACCATGCTATTTACAAACACCATCGAACTTGTTGTTTGCAAGGTAATGACGTCACAAGGGGGAACCGTAGGAGGGCGCCACCATAACTTCTCGCCGCTAATACTTCCAGACCTGTGCAGGAACGCAGTGAATCGTTTGTGGTGGCGCTTCGATAAAGTGTGGTATTTTTCTTTCTCCTGAAACACATCCCTGGCCGTGCACGTGTTTCTTCATGCGCGAGCTTTCTGTGGAACGCGGCCCAGCTGCACCGGTTCTCGTGCAAATGGAGCAGTTGCCCACTTATAGAGGCTTTACACACGAGCCAGAATACAGTCGCCATTGCTGACCTTCTCTTGTTTTACCGAGATACCGAGCCACTCAAGCGGGTGTTGACGAGCCTCCAGAAAGGTCAATGCTGGGAAGAAGGACACAATGGAATCTAAGAAGCAAAAACCTGGACTGCTGTGGTAATGACGAAGCGAAGAAAATGGAATAAGAGGAAACAAAAACTGAAGGTCAGTTATGGCGGCGCCCATGCACAACTGCTGCAAAGCGTCTATAGTGCCACTAAATGGAGTGAAAAAGGAGCGCAGCTCATTTAGTGGCTCAAGCCCACGCTATGAGCTCGCGTCTCCAGCGAATGTGGTGAGAATGTGGTCAGGATAAAAAATCGAAAATCGTCCCGATCTTATGGCGAGACACACTCACGACAATAGAACCGACGCGTCGAAAAATTGAGATTGGAGTAGCGCATTTATCACCCCGGGGACCTCGAACACATTGACACATATTTCAACCTGGTGAAATAGACCGATCTCACCATGCGTTCCACGCATGCGTGACGCCGCCATAACTGTGGGCATGGAAGTGGGCATGGAAACAGCCTGAGGATGCAGTCTTCTAATCCGTTCTGCTTCATTGTACAGATCCTGCTTTGCCTGTGTTCAGCGCCTGTCTGGGCATCGCCGTTCTCTCAAGTCATCGTCACAACAACGCTGGCCACGGAAGGATTTCCAGTTTTTCAAGATAAATCCGACGTACGTTTTGGCGTACTCACGTACTGGCCGCAGTATGCCTTTACCCGGCACAAGGAAGCTACCCCATCGACATCGACACTAATCAACGAGGCTTCAAAACCGTGGAACGTCGCCAGTTCTGTCAGTGGGCATGGAAACAGCCTGAGGATGCAGTCTTCTAATCCGTTCTGCTTCATTGTACAGATCCTGCTTTGCCTGTGTTCAGCGCCTGTCTGGGCATCGCCGTTCTCTCAAGTCATCGTCACAACAACGCTGGCCACGGAAGGATTTCCAGTTTTTCAAGATAAATCCGACGTACGTTTTGGCGTACTCGCGTACTGGCCGCAGTATGCCTTTATTCGGCACAAGGAAGCTACCCCATCGACATCGACACTAATCAACGAGGCTTCAAAACCGTGGAACGTCGCCAGTTCTGTCAGTGGGCATGGAAACAGCCTGAGGATGCAGTCTTCTAATCCGTTCTGCTTCATTGTACAGATCCTGCTTTGCCTGTGTTCAGCGCCTGTCTGGGCATCGCCGTTCTCTCAAATCATCGTCACAACAACGCTGGCCACGGAAGGATTTCCAGTTTTTCAAGGTAAATCCGACGTACGTTTTGGCGTACTCGCGTACTGGCCGCAGTATGCCTTTACCCGGCACAAGGAAGCTACCCCATCGACATCGACACTAATCAACGAGGCTTCAAAACCGTGGAACGTCGCCAGTTCTGTCAGTGGCAAGGGGGTTATAATGGGCAGGAGGTGGCGTCCCTATCCCCAATGCATGGAGCGAAGTGTAACGGAAGTAGGCGTGGCCACGAGCCGCAACGAACATTTCCTGACCAATGGGAAGCCTAGTGAGTGGGCGCCGCCATTAATTTCGGTGCAAACAACCGCGTTGCCATGACATTTCCGTGGCAACACGACTGTGTGCACCGAAAGTAATGGCGGCACCCACCGTTATTTGAAACAGCGCTTAATGGGAGACTTTTAAAGATGGTATTATCGGAATTGGATGAGATTATTATAAACGAACGCCTGGTTTAATTTAATTTAATTTAATTTAATTTAATTTATTTGGCTCAGGAGAGTCGGGAGTACAGCAGAAAGGCCGAAGGCCCATACCAGTTGGTCTGCAAACACCCAAACTAAAGGGGGGGGGGGGGGGGGGGGAGGGGGGGAGGGGAAAGCAAAAGCAACAAAATACTTTTGACAAATACAAGTTAAAAAAAAAAAGAAAAACCAAGACAACAACAATTAGATACTTGCACAAAGGCTATGTGAGCGAATGACGGAGATGGCTAGTTACTCTATGGCAGAAGTCCTTCACTTCGTCTCGTGCCGTGGGTGGGCACAAGGTGAAGCTAGGTGGCAATGATCGCCAGTGCGTCACAGTCCTCACAACAAAAGACTGGCGATGCCTCTCAGTTCTGGCTAAGATAGGCTGCAATGAACCGGTCCGATTTTTCCTTAAAGGGAGCACAACGCCAGACTGGTTTGAGTTCAGAATCAAAAGGTTGGTCAGCAGTCGTAGGGAGGCCACCTCTCGCCGTAAGGCAAGTGGGTTCCACCCAACAGCTTGCAGTAAATCGGCCGTTCGCATTTCCCGGTAACGTGCTATGCGTGTGTCGCGCCGCCTAACCAAGGTGGCGTAGGCGGCCCGACGCTGGACGCTCTCCAGTGCCGCTACAAGGTGTTCCTGGTGGGGGCTCCATATGGGGCAGCAATACTCAAGTTGAGGAAGCACAAGTGCAGTGAAGAGATGTCTTAAGGTCTCGGGTCCAGCCCCCTTGGTTACACGGAGACAAAATCCGAGCTGCCGACGCGCCCTCGAAAGTACAGCTGCAACGGAAAGAGAGTGGCACAAGTCACCGATGACAGGAGCGGCAAAATTGCGACACGCGGCGCTATCGTTCCCGAGCGCGCCGATAGCGAGAGTGCCAGTCCCGTTGCATCTCTCAACGCGGGGGGGGAGGGGGGGGGGGGGGGGGGAGATACCTTTCGAAGTGCGGGCTTTAGGATGGGCTGCTTTCTGCCGGCCACCCCCGCGTTGACACATGGAACGTGACTGGCACTCTCGCTATCGGCGCGCTCGGGAACGATAGCGCCGCGTGTCGCGATTTTGCCGCTCCTGTCGTCGGTCACTTGTGCTACTCTTTTTCCGTTGCAGCTGTACCTCTCCAACGTGAGCGGAGAAACGTAGCTGGGCGTCCAGGGTGACACCCAACAGCTTTGCGCTTGATGTCCACCTCAGGGCAACACCATCAAGGCAAAGACTAGGAGGGGCCAGGGGTTGCCGGGCGCAGGATATCACCATAGCCGAGCACTTGGCAACATTTAGAGGGAGCCGGTTCTCAGAGGACCAAGCAGACACTGCATCAAGGTCATGTTGGAGCTGCTGTTGGTGAGCAAGGCTAGAGATCGGGTGCAGAAGAGTGACATCATCTGCATAAAGCAGGGGCTTGCAGTACAGGGATGTAACAATGTCATTGATGTAGACGTTGAAAAGTGTGGGTCCAAGCACACTGCCCTGAGGAACACCGGACAAGACCCCAACTGTATCAGACACTGAACCACGGAACACAACTCGCTGAGTTCGCTCACATAGAAAGTCTGTCAACAAGTTGAGGAGTTCGCCACATACGCCAAAAGCACGGAGCTTGCATATGAGGATCTTATGGTCTACTCTGTCGAATGCCTGCCGGAAGTCCAACTGAACAAGCGCAGAGGGGGTACGGCCATCCAGGTACTCACTGGCAGTGTTGACGAGAACAGCCAGGGCCGACTCGCAGCTCCGACCGGGCCGAAAACCATGTTGATACACATGGTTGCCCAGCAGAAAGTAAGTGACTAGAATTGAGACGCTCTAGACGACGCACCGTGAAGGACTTGGCGGTGCGCAACGCATTTTTTAATAAACAGCAGCAGCAGATCGCGCGAGCGCGCATGCAAGCCAGGAGCGCACAGAACAACGGGCTCGCGCTTCCAGTTCTGACTTCGCTCGCACATAATGTGGAACTAACTATAAACATTCACGCTGCAAAGCATTTGCATCGTGGACGCCCACGGCGGACGCCGACTGCATCGAAAGCTAGCCTCGTGAAGCACACGCCGGAGCAGATTAGAAAGCAGACGAACCGCCGGTGCGCAACCCCACGGCCTCGGAACGGGTGCGCAAGGCAGTCTGGGATTAAACGCCTCTTCCGGCTTCTCTCAGGCTGACGTCATGCCGGGTCCTGTCTGTTTAAACGTCCTTGGTCAGTGGGCATGGAAACAGCCTGAGGATGCAGTCTTTTAATCCGTTCTGCTTCATTGTACAGGTGGGTTCCTCTCCGTCCTTACATACTAGACGAACGAATAACGTCGTTCTTCTGCTGTTTCCATGCCCAAGTGTTATTTGTGTTACGGTCATTGAGTGTTATGATGTGGTAAAATCGTTACTAGCACTTTCGGGCGACATTGAACTTAATCCCGGCCCCATGAGCGATGTTCAAGCGAAACAATTCGCGGATTTGATGCAGCTGGTGAGGGATATGAATGAACGATCTTTGAAATCTGAAGTTGGGCAAAACAGTTTACTAGACAGTGTGAAAGAAATAAGAGAAAGTCAGAGTTCAATCGAAAGAAAAATTAACGACATCGGTAATCGACTTACGCTTGTCGAGAATAAAGTATCTGCGCTTGAGTTGGTTGACCAAGATTTCAACACAGTGAAATGTCTCGCTGAAAAATTGAATTATGACAACGCCACTTTGAATGACCGTCTAAATGACCTTGAAGATCGATCACGTAGGGATAATCTAATTATTTATGGTTTGGCGGATTCTCCGTCCGAAACTTGGTCCGTTACTGAAAGAAAAGTTCTCGAGCTTGCTTCTGGCTCTCTTGAGCTACAGGTGCCCCCAGACTGCATTGAGCGCTCACACCGCATCGGTGCTTTTAGAGCCAATCGCTGTCGCCCAACAATAGTGAAATTCTCCTCCAATAAAATCAAGAATTATGTATTTTCGTCGCGTTTTAAGTTGAAAGGTAGTGACATTTACATCTGTGAAGATTTCTCGCCAGCAACCCGCCAGGCTAGGAAAAAACTAACTGAGTTTGGAAAAGCCTCTAACAATGTGTTTCAACTACGCTACAATAAACTGTTTATTAACAAGAGGTGTTATATGTATAACTCAGTGTCTGACGAAGTGTTTGATCTCGGTGCTGGTCCTGATAGGAGTGAAGGTGATAACGTCAACAGGCCTCCCCTTAACTTGCATCAAACGCCCTCATCTGATAGGCGCGAAGGAGATAACGTTAACATGCTTCGTAACACACATCAAACGTCTTCTTCACCATAACATGTGGCAATGGGCGTGGGTGCTATTCCTTTATCCAAAAATGTGTCAGCACTTTTTAGCAATATAAGGAGTATTTTACGTCATCGTGATGAATTGTGTTCAGTTATTGATTCTTGTAACGCTGACGTAGTAGTTTTAACCGAAACGTGGCTGTCATCGAATGTTCGGAATTGTGAATTATTTAGTTGTGATAAGCGTTTTAATGTCTACCGTTGTGATAGGGGTGCACGAAATGGAGGTGGCGTTTTATTGGCAGTTGCCGATCACATTGATTCTTTCTGTGTGCGTTTGAATAGTGATTTAGAAATAGTTTGTTGTTGCTTGTGTTTGAACTTCCAAAAAGTTATCTTAGCCGTGTGTTATCATCCGCCATCAGCTAATCCTTCTTTTGTTTCGAATCTTCATGATGTTTTGAACTCAATAATAGTGCGCTTTCCTTCATCTCCTATACTCCTCCTTGGTGATTTCAATTATCCTCAAATAAAATGGTCTCACCCGCATATTTTCTCTAACCCTTTCTCATCAGATGCGGAAGATTTTATAAAGTTATGTGATGACTTCAGTTTTTCGCAGCTGGTGTCTCTTCCTACTCGAATCACTGCTACAACTGCAAACGTATTAGATCTCATTTTGTCAACTTCACCTGAACTTATTTCTTCTGTTACTTTCATGCCGGCTCTCAGCGACCATTCGCTACTACATTTTTCACTTGATGTGCCAGCCAAAACAGCACAGCGAACTCTTTAAAAAATACGAGACTATGGTAGAGGTGACTATGACTCTATTAACGGTGCCCTTGGCCTTTTTCTTAACGATTACTTAGACCACTTTTCTGACCGTTCTTTAGAATTAAATTGGACATTGTTTAAGACGCAGGTTGAGCTCCTAACCAATAAACATATACCGCTACGTAACATACCAATTGTTTCGAATTCCCCTTGGTTCAATAACACCCTAAAAAGACTTTCCAATAAAAAGAAGCGCAAATTTCGTGCAGCAAAGTTAACAAATTCGGAGGTTAAATGGCTCGAGTATCATGAGGCTGCCAATGCTTATAAAAGTGCAATCGCGGATGCAAAGTCAGTTTATTTTTCTATCACCCTGCCATCACTACTAACCAACAACGTCAAACAGTTTTGGAAGGCGATTAACGGCAATAAAAACACCACACTGTCTCTGTTTACTTTATCAGGTGAACCTGTTTCCACCGATGACTGTGCAAATGTTTTCAATTCTACTTTTGTTGAATCATTTTCAAACTGTATTCCTTCAACTTTACCTCAACTTCAACAACGCGCTTTTCTGCACTCTAAAAAAAAAAGGTGTCGATTTAACTCTTTTTGGAGTGTAACTGGCTTGTCACAGAATCCACTCTTTTAAAGAGTAACTATAACTCTTCGGAGGCAAGTGTATGTTTAACTCTTTCATACAAGTGTTCATTTAACTCTTCTATAGAGAGTCACGACAATACTTTTGAGAGAGTCAGGGCTACTCTTTTGATGTGTAAGTGTAAGTGTTACCTTCACTCATTTGTGTAGAGTAACTATAACTCCATGAGAAGTGTTGCCTAAACTCTTTGATGAGAGTAAATTTCACTTTTTTGTGTAGAGTGACTATAACTCTATCAAAAGTGTTGCCGAAACTCCTTGTTGACGAGTGAAGGATACTCTCCAGGAAGAGTTACCTTCATTCCTTCGTGTAGGGTAACTACAACTCTATTACAATGTTGCCTGAACTCTGTATTCAAGAGTTACGCGTACTCGCCAGGAAGAGTTACCCTCACTCCATCGTGTAGAGTAGCCACAACTCTATTAGAAGTGTTGCCTAAACTCTGTATGCAAGAGTTAAACATGTTCTCCGGGAAGAGTTGAATCCACTCGTTTGTGGAGAGTAATGACAACTCCATTAGAAGTGTTGCCTGAACTCTATATTTAAGAGTTAAGCACGCTCTCCAGGAAGGGTAGTTTTAACCTTATTGTGGAGTAAATACAACTCCATTTGAATTGTACCTTGAGTCCGTATTAAAGAGTTAACTCTGCTCTCTACCAAGAGTTAATGTCACATAGCAGCACCCTTGAGCAGTTTGTATGACCCCTCCTTAGATAGTACTTAACTCTTTATTACAGAGTTTAGGCAACACTTGAATGGGACTGTAATTACTCTACAGAAATATTTTTTTACAGTAATTACAGACCCATCTGATGTGTTGCCTAAACTCTGTATAAAAGAATTAGCACCCTCTTCAGGAAGCCCTAAAATCTAAAAGCAACTATGTACATGTTCACAAGGAGATGGGTGCAAAGGAAATGTGGAACTGCCGCTGAAAAATGACAAAATATAAAGCATGAGCCTGCACGGAGGCTATAGGTTCTCATAAAAAGTCAGCACTGAAATAAAACAGTAGAATAGAGTTTAATAAACCAAAATTTTAATTTCAGCACATGGCAAAAAAGGCAAAACCGGCACATAAATTTCCTCTGGCTAACAAGTTTTTTTTTTTTTTTTAACTTCGTGATCAAGTCTAAAGCCAAGACGGACTTTATTTGTACTTCAAACTAATGAAGTGTCCAATCACTGCGAGTGACTGGCTTGCTTTTTGACGGTAAGAAATGTCGTCGACTCCGTGCGATGCAAGAACGAGCGCTGCACCAGCCCGTCACCTCAAAGGAGTGGTCCTCCAACACCACAGTTATGGCACTTGAGTCCTCTTCGTCAATTCTCGTCACCGGATAGGTCGATCGGCCGTGTCCCTCCTCCTGTGAAGAATGAATGCTTAAATGCAGAGTCAGCAATGTTAAAAGAGAGGAAACAGCTCGCGAAGTGCTTTTAGTTAATACCAGTGCACTCATTTGCGAGACAATAGACCATTTTCGAAAATCCCAGGAGCCATTCATAGGATGCGCTCCAATAATTGGCTGGGGCTCGCTTTCTTGCCGATTGAATAAGAGTCCCAACCGAACACTAAGGCAGCACT